AGGAGCGCCCTGAGCGCGGGGGTGTTTCTAAAGCAGTTTCTCCTTTGCCTTTGGGTGCGATTTTTAGGCTGGCAGGCACGCTGAACGCGAATAGCGTTTGAGACATATTCAGCTCTTTCTCAACATCTCTCTTGGCTGTGGGCTTTTAATGAATGGCTCTTGTTGATACGGCAGTCGAATGGAATCCATTTCAGGATTCCATAGACGTGGAGTGAGCAGGATGGAGAAGTAGTAAAAACGTGTTTCAGTCATTTGTATGAAGTGCAGAGTCGTTGTACAGACTTGACTGTTGAGGCCAATATGCATTCCCCTATTTAAAGTGTTTGAAATACTAAAATATTTTAGAAATGTTTTTTATTAGACAAATGTTAAATATTGCTTACACGTTTAAATCACTTTATTGCACCAAACATACCTAACCTCAACCTGCTCCGTAATCATATACTTCACTGGCAGAATATAGGATGTTTCTTAGGAAAGGATTGTGAAATAAATTGAGACGATCCTTCTCCTTTATGATTTATTATTTCCAATGTGAGTATTTTAGAACATTTCAGTAACTTTCAGAAAATCATACTTTCAGAAAAACCAAAGAGATTTTTAAAACTGGAATGCTGTGTCAATACATACTTGTACCACAAATGGTAGTTGAGGTTGGTGCATTACTCTGGAATTAAGGGAGAAAGACAGGATGTCTTTCTAGAACTGTACACATTGAAAAGTGTGATAATATCAAATTAGGCTTTAGGTATATGAGTCCTAATTTAGTTTAGCACTTAGAAGTTTTATTTATGTTAGACACTAAGCACACTGCTTGTTAGGCACTGAGCACATTGGGACAGTAAATTGATAACAAAGTGAAAATGTCTTTCTCGTGTGCTTTTCAGTGCCCCTGAAGTAAGTAGTACACAATTCTGTTTTATTACATGAATAACAATCCTTTAACTAAATATTTCAGTGGTTGGTTTCAGATATTTCATCAGTTTTTAATTTATGAACATTTCTTTTGTAATTTCAGATTTATTTAGTAGGCAGCCTACAGCAACTTGATGCGTACTGCTCAGAGACAGGAAAACAGGAATAGGGAATGCAGTTCTTGGAGTTTTATTTGACCTGTTTCTGTGCTGCCTTGAGGAGAAACAGCTCTCCTCTACTGCTGCCCACTTGTTCCAAATCCTGCTCCATCTGTGCCAACCCCATTGTCTGGAGTAGCTGTGTAGCAAAACAGATTTTGACTTTTATCTGGTTAAAGACTAGCTTAGCTAAAAAGGAAAATTAAAAAAAAAATTAGAAAGATCAATTTGTGTAGATGGGTTAATGTCCAGTTTAATGACTGTCTTGGCAGAAATGCAGCTAAAGAAATATGTTTGTGAGGCCTTGGTTTTAGGACTGTTACATAGAAAGACTGGAAACTATACTTTCCGCGTGTCAAGCAGGTGAAATTTATGTCAGAATAAAGTGAGCTTGAAACGGTTGCTTTATTTTTCATTGTAAGGTTGCTGAAAACCCTTACATAACGTTTTCACTTCAGTTTTTCATTTTTATTTAAGGTGTCATTGATTACTAGCCTTTAATTTCCTTGTCAAATTTTCTAATGTAAATCTAGAATTAGAAAATGAGAAAAGACTTCAGCACCTTTACTTGACCCAGGTTATGCATAAGGTGGGCTTCGCCAGTATGTGTGATCTGGAGCAAAATTATCACAACTTCTTCTGTAACTGCGTTTCTAAAATTGTACAGCGGACAGCAATGTAGTGCTTGATTATCTCCATGAGATTTAATGAACTAACTGGAGGAGTTCAGTTATAGCTGCCTGGGGCTCCAGGGGAACTGATTTGCTCCCAAGTTAACATGTAAAAATAGGTTGGGTGGGGCTCTGGGCTGGTGTGTCTTGGCAGCCTCTGGTGCATGAAGAAGCTTATTTAAAACTTGTGTCAGCAGCACTTTTATTGTACTACTTTGTGTGATGAATACACATTCTTGGTGGCAGTGCTGTTAGTTTTTTGTATGCACCATAGGCTGCTGCATCCATTTGTGATAGCTAGATGATTTTCTTTTTTTTTTACACTGAACTTGCTTACTCCTGTGTTTTCATGCCACTCTGGCCTTTTAACTTCAAAGCCTACTTTGAACTAACTTCTTAAAAGCATTGCTGTTCACTGAATTAAATAGGAGGCCCCACTATCTTTTTGTTTATTTGTTTGGTTACAAGTACTGTGCTGTTGACTGAGGTATGGAGGGTTTTATATACAGAGCTCAGTGTGAACTTACATGCTAGTTCTGCAGTGCTTTAGGCTTTTTAACTTAACTGGGTGTACTTAAGCAAGGGTAGAATATCCTCAGAGGGTGTGCACCTATGCAAAATAATCACTGTGGTTCTGAAAGGTGTAAAGTGTTTATTTAATACTTTCTTGGGCAAAAGTGTTTAAGAAAAGCAGCATTCAGAGTCCATGACTCCCTCTAATTGCAGGATTTGTTTTATATCAAAACACATTATTGTATTAAGAATCTTGAATTTTTTAAAAAAACTTAGCTTTGGATATTTGTAAGTGTGTTGGATTTGCCTGGCCAGATCTCAGTAGCGGGGCGGTGGGGAGGGAGGTGGGGGCTGTGGGGGTGGCTTCTGCATGAAGCTGCCGGATGATTCCCCTAGGTCTCATAGAGCCAATGCCAGCTGGCTCCCGCTGGCCAGGGCTGAGCCTGTCAGTAGTGATAGGATAGGAACACCTCTGTGTAAACATATTTAAGAAACAGGGGAAAAAGAACTGTGCCACACAGTAACTGGCAGAGAGAGAGAGATAGAGAGGAGGGAGAATATGTGAATACACCAGGTCAGTGAAGGGGGAAGTACTTCAGGTGCCAGAGCAGAGAGTCCTCTGGGTCGTGGTGGAGACCATGGTGGGGCAGGCTGCCCCCCTGCAGTCCATGGAAGTGACGGGGTGTAGATGTCCCCCTGCGGCCCATGGAGAACCCCATACCAGAGCGGGTGGATGCGTGAAGGGGGCCGTGACCCTGTGGGAAGCTCACGCTGTAGAAGGTTCCTGCGAGAACCTGTAGCCTGTGGAGAGAAGCCCACGCTGGAGCAGGTTGGCTGTCAGGACTTTTGTGACACCACAGGGAACTCATGGTGGAGCAGTTTCCCCCTGAAGGACTGCATCCCATGGAGAGACTCACGTTGGGGCAGTTTGTCAAGAACTGTCTGTCCTGAGAGGACCCACGTTGGAGAAAGCTTAAGAAGGTCATCTCCTATGAGAGGGACCCTGCAGCGGCCTGGGAGAAGAGTGAGGAGTCCTCCCCTGAAGGAAGAACAGTGGAGAAAACATTAAAAAACAAAAAAAAACCAAAACAGCACCCAAACAACTACATGAGGTCATCCCTAAACAGACTTCTATGGAGACCAAATGGAGATTCCTGAAATAGGCTATTTTGTAGTTGAAGATACATTAATCAATAAAAGCATGGAAGGTATTTAATGTTCAGTAACTGGAGGTTACAGGAATAAATATAGAGGTGTATAGAGATACGTAGTCCTTCTAACCTTTTTGCCTATACGCTTACTGGAACTTTCTATGTTTTAAGAAGAGTATAGAAACTGATAAGGTCCTTCCCCTTGCTGCTCTGAATTTACTGGTATATGTCCAGCATATCATCATTGCCTTTAATCGAGATGACCTTGGTTATTTTCTGTTTTGTATCTGGGGAGATCTCTTATAAAATTGAAGAAATACATTTACCAGTGTTACCATTTTATTTCTATATTTCTTTTATAAGTTGTCAGTAAAGCTGATTTAGAAAACCTAGAGAGAACAGTGATAGGACATAACCAATCAATTTTTAGATAGAATACTTTTGCTTGCAGTATCTCTAAACAGAAAACAAAGAAAGTATGGCAAATGACTTTGAATAGCCAATATAAATGATATTTTTACCTCTCAAGTGATGGAGGAGGAAAAGAATTTTAATAGGGGAGAGAGATATGTATTGGAAGTGTTGTTGATACATGGAAAATTACTGATATACGTGAATGGATTAAAAAAGCCCTCGTATCGGAAAAAGAATCTGTTTTTATTACTGAAAGATGTATTTGAAATTATTTGATTGTGTAAATTTAAGGAGTTTCTAAATTTATTTATTAATATTTATTATGAATAATTGAACGTTTGTATTTTTAGGTAAAGTTTGGAAATACAACATTCAAGACAGATGTGTATCCCAAATCGCTTAATCCTCAGTGGAATTCTGAGTGGTTCAAATTTGAAGTAAGTATTTTTTAAGAGTTTGCCTGTATTGGTATAGACACTTTGGTTTAGATGTCCTTAGTGAAATAATTTCATCTCAGGCAGAAAATGAGTTCTGAGGAATGAAGTGTATTTCATTTTAAATACACATGAAGCCTTTTCAGCAAACCTATCTGCAGTTATACCTTGTTTGCTAAAGGTGTCTCATTGGCTTTTTAGGACTGTTTGTAAAGATAAAAGCTTGCCAGATTGGATCCAACTCAAACTTTACTCTGGGTAGTACTAAAAAAGACTTACAGAGGTAAAAGTGAAGGGAAAATAACATTGTGGATGAGGCTTTCAGATTTCAGTACTGGTATGCTTGTATTTTTTTAAAGGGTTAATTTTGATTAGTGGAAGTTAATAGTTTTTTGAAATGTTAATTTGGGTTGCAAAAATAATGCACTTGACAGAGGAAAATGGAGAATTCCTTTGAGAAAATTACAAAATAAAGACTTGGACAACAGTTACCGGACACTTTCTTTTCCCATTGCCTTATGTAATAATGAGGGTATTCAAAGTTTTCCTGTAATTGCTCATTACTTTCCAAGATCTGCTTTATTGATGTTCTTTGATATTATGTTCTGAACAAGTGTTTAGTTTTTTTATTTGTGTCCTTGCATTTTTTATTCCTTTAAAAAAAAAGTAATGACATTTAGAAAAATTTTTAAAACATTTGCATTTATAGTACTAGTTCATTTATAGTGTTCTAAGATTATACTGCAGTATAAACATGGTTATAAATGTATGTACGTATAATGAGTCATGTAATAGCTGGTAATGTTAGAAATATTTTAGAGCAAATATGAACTAGTAAGGTTAGGCAGATTATGAATCAACATGCAATGCTTGATTTTAAGAACATGTCTTAATCAGCAGTCCACATTGATTGAGAAAGTAGGACTATGGTGTTGAAATTCAATCAGATTTTTTTTTGTCTTTCAAATCCTGGTGCTTTTTTTGGAGAAGGGGAAAGATAATAACAGAAATCTCAAAATCCTATCTTTTTGCATGAAAAAAATGGGTATGGGAAAGAAATGAGCCAAATGGCAACAATAAGGGAGGAGGAAAAAAAAGAACTACACATTTCAAAGAGTGGAAACACACTAACTGCTTAAGACATTGTAAGCGTGTGTGTGTGCGCATGTGTGTTTGTAGTTTATTCGGGTTTTTTTCCAGGACTACATGTTATAATTCTGCAAACAGTTCCATGAGTCATCATGCTGTAAACCTGATTCTTGATTTGTGACCTTCAACACGAAAAGCTGTAGAATGTCTACCATTGTCGTAAAAAATAATTTCTGACGTATCTGCAGATGGATAATTGAATTTATTTAGGAAAGTACATGTCTGAAATTACTGAATCTTTTTTTGTATACAATTTCTTGTCTTCATTTAAGCCACTAGCCAGTTTGGAAGGTTGAGGGCACCGCTAATCATAACTTCAGAGTGGAATAGTCCTTGGAGATGCTTTATCTTTTAATTTTTGGTTTTTACAAAGAGTATGTGTTGTGGAGATGGGTAGCCAATCTAGGGAATGTGGCTTAAAACAAATCATGTGAAATTTTAAAGTGTGCAATCATTTCAGTCTTGCTTTTCTATTCTTCTCCCAGCGATAACTGATTTCAGCGTCTAAAAATGCTAAAAAGGCTGAAATCCAAACATGTTGTTTAGATACAGGAAATCAAAATTACAGGTTTATCATGTGTCAGGTCCCTGTACGTAACTAACTCTTCTCTTTCTTGCATTTGTTTTTCAGCAATATTTCTTTGCATTTTCAAAAAATACTGAGATTCCATGTAAATATTTGTTTCTAGGTAGATGATGAAGAGCTACAGGATGAGCCTCTCCAGATCACAGTTCTTGATCATGATACCTACAGTGCTAATGATGCCATTGGCAAAGTGTACATAGATATTGATCCTCTGCTTTATAGTGAAGCAGCTACAGTTATTTCAGGATGGTTTCCAATTTATGATACCATTCATGGTAAGATTTGCTAGTTTAAAAGTAAACTATGTTGTTTGAAATGTAATCTTAAAATCTTTATTTTGCTAAGCTGTTTTCAGAAATGTGTAATCATTTTAGCCTTGAGAGCTGGAAAGCTACTTTTGTGGTGGTTTTTTCCCTTATTTCTGGCATGAGAAAATATTTGGCATAGTAATTCAGACTAGCGCTTGGCAAAACGCCTTCCATAGAACTTGTGACAAGTGGAAATAATCTCCACATGGTATTTAAAATAGTTACTGCAAAATGTAGATGAAAAAAAAAAAAGACCCAGACATGCTTTTCCAATTAGCATGTGTTTTCCGAAAGAATATACTTTTACTGAATTCACTTGGGATGTTGTTCCTTCCTGAGATGCTGGATAAATTTCACTTGGGATGAGGAGAGAGGATATGCCACAATTTCAACGTAAAATACAGGATGAAATTCCTTTTCCCAGCAGACAGTACTCTCAGTGCTAGGTAGATTTCATCAGAATATCTTGAAGGTATGAGAAAATGAAGTTAATGATATTTTTGCCTTTGATTTTGATGAAACACAGCTTTTGTCCCAGAAAGTCAAGGTTGGTTTGCAGCAATTAGTCTGCTGCTTGAATACCTTGTTGCAGAACATCTCTGTCATTCATAATCTTGTTTATTATTCAGTGTAAATTAAATGACCTGACTATGGTAAAAGCTGATTTTAAATCGTTGGGAAATAATAAATGGTATTTACTAGATGATCATCGTAACTGATGCAAAGTATTTTTTATATTTAAAACAGTTGTACTGAAGAGTTTTTTGAGAGGTATTGCATGCATTTTTTTACTTTTATTCTGTTGACACTGTCCTGTCATGCATTTTCTTTTGGAGTTAAATTAGATGAACACTTGTCTCAGGATATGTACAATTTGTATGTCTGAAAGAATTATATTTTGCTAGATCTGTTAGTATTTCACAGCTTTTTTCTATTTAAGTAAAGTTAGAATTCTAGTTTGTTTATGCACATAGCATTAGATTCTAATTATCTTGATCCTCGGCAAACAGTAATTGATGCTTCCTTAAAAAAGTTTATAAACCTTTATTAAAAAAAATAAATTGCACCTCAGCATGATTATTTGTGAAAATATATGAACACGAGACACTTACTGTTACAGTAACTGAAAGCTTCTTTCTGTTGACATTTTGGAAGATAGATCTAGGTGACTTTATTGCAGTAATGTGAGAGTCAATCTATGAATGCAGTGCTTTTCTTGAAGTGTTGCATACTTTTGTGATAAAGGCTTCTAAAGACACTAGAGATCAGACTCATCCAGAAGTCCTCAATATGTCAGAATTTATAATATGTGAAATGATTTTGTTACTGGGTGGGGAAAAAGGCAAGAAAGCTTAGACTAGGGAAGCAGAAAAATCAAAAAGGAATGTTTGTGTGTTGTGGCCAAAAATTAAGCTTTATCTAAGAAGTCTGTAATAACCTCATTTTTTATATATTTCTTCTCATAGTCAAAATATTTTATAAACATTACTGTGCCACTTTGTAGTTCTAGAAAGAACCATAAATTTTCCTCTTAGGTTTGAACTTTAGAGAGTAGCTTTACCAAGATTTTGAATCCGTTTCAGGGAGAAAATGTAAAAGCTTTTTGGTGTAGGTCAGAGCTTTTTGATGTGGACAGGACTTCAGTTGCAAGGCCTCTCTACTCAAAATTAGTGCTACCAACCTCTTGTGCTAAGAGCATCTTGGAACAGTCAAAGCGCTTAGATACCGACCTAGATTCCACCCTTCCTGCCTTGATGGTAGGAAGGAGGAGCGAGAATGCTTGCTCACTTTGGCAGAGGCCCCTGCGGTATCAGAAGGCTGATTGATGGCTTTTCTTTCCTCAGTCCCATCTTCCTTCTAAAGAGCTGCTCGATGCAGCAGGTGTTTGAGGACTGTTGCTTGCGTAGCTTCAGCCTCAAAGGCTTGGCAGGACTACAAACTTCCTCCGAGTTGGCATTGAAAGGTCTTCCTGCTCCTCTGGCCCAGGCTGGAATTGACACGTGAGCCACCAGCTGAACTGACCAGTCCTAACAGGGTTATAGGACAGTTTTTGTAGAAAAACTTGGCTCACTGATCATAGAAAGTGCATTAATTAATCACAAGGAATAACTAGTAAGGCTAGTTTTGTATTTGTTTCTGATACAGCTCTTCCTTTTTCATGTTTTTTATTGATAGGTATACGTGGGGAAATCAATGTGGTGGTGAAAGTAGATCTCTTCAATGATTTAAACAGATTTAGGCAGTCATCCTGTGGAGTCAAGTTTTTTTGCAGTAAGTAGAGGAAAAAGGTTTATTTGAACAAAGAACTTTTTTTTTCCTCCCTTCTTTTCTTTCTTCATCTGTTCTGTCAGTTTCCCTTTTACTAGCTCCTTGCATAAGCCCAGTGAAGATTACATTGCAATCCATACTAAATGCAGAAAAATTAGTTTGCTTTTCTTTTTTTCTTTTAATAAATTTTTACTGTTCTTATTTCATGACTACTCTATCTGTCTTAAGTGTCATTTCAGTGCATGCACTTACACACATGGTTTTGTTTTGGTTGTGTGCATATCCTGTTAGAGGCATAAAGTGAAAAGGTTTCATAATGGTATATGTTGTAACTGATACACTGGTTGGTTATCTTATTGGTGTTCCAGGATCTCCCAGAGCAAAACTTCTTGGATATGTCCAAATTTTAACAGAAGATTGTGGATTTCTTTCTGGAAGTCTTTACATCACTTGTTATGTGTAATTTTGTGTTTGTGTTGGAATTCTTGGTTCATAAACCTGTGCCTTAGATCTTTTAAATATATATATGGTTGGTTTTTTTTTTTTTTAACAGCTACGTCTATTCCTAAGTGTTACAGAGCAGTAATAATTCATGGATTTGTGGAAGAACTTGTAGTTAATGAAGACCCAGAATACCAGTGGATAGACCGAATTCGTACACCAAGGGCATCAAATGAGGCCAGACAAAGACTTATTTCACTCATGTCAGGTATTAAACATGTAGGCTGTAATGGGTTTTGCTGCTTTAAAAAAGTATTCACCATTTAAGTATGTGACTTGCTTAAGACAAGCCTGTACATGTTTTTTGGTATTATGTTATTTTTTCAGTTCACGGTGTCTTCTGTTTCTGAAGGTTCTATGGTTCTGTTGTTTTAACTGATTGCCATTATGACTGACTTTTTTTTATCCCTTTATTGTCTCCTTCTTGGTGAGGCCATGCTGCTGTCTAATTTGTTAGTAAGGTCAAAGAAACCTGTGGAACTTTCTTGAAGGTATTCTTAACCCATATGGAGGAATATTCCTAGAATTTTGACTCACTTAAAATAATGAACTACTTCATCCTCTTTGAACTACCTCAAAGTATGTGAACAAAATATACACTGTCTCACAGTGTTAATATTTATCTTGCTCATCTCATCTTTTCAAAGTCAAGATTGGTTCATTGTTTCTCAAGCATACTTCTCTATGGCCTTGCATCAGTTCTGCGAGGCTTACCTGCAGATCCTGGAGAGACCAGTAATTGGAGCCAGTTCAAGTATCCTCACAGATTATTCTTTTATTATTATCATTGATGCTTGCAAACAGTAATTCTGAACCAAGATCCTCCTGTTTCAGTGCCAGCAGAACAGAACAAAACACCCCTACTCTAGAGTTACCTGCACACTAAGACAGGAGACAATCAGTTGATAGGGGTGGACAATATTGAAGTTGTAAGGAATGCGAAAGATGATGACAAATAGCTACTGAAATGATAGGCAGTGGTTTGAGTTCTCTAGTAGGCCTTTAATGTTGTCAGGCTTCTTGTAGGTACAGCTGTATTTTAAGGAAGATACTAAAAGACAAAGGTGGATTTTGTCAGCATATATGATCTTGAGTAAGTGGGGCAACAGAAAAGAGATCATAGAGATGAGGATTTTGGAAGTCTTTCATTTTCATTTGAAAGGAGATGTTGGTTTCCAGCTGGTATTACCAGGGCTCTTTAGCTACCTGGATTTTTTTTTTTTTTTTTAAACGTCCTGCTAAGTAAGCATCTGTGGCAGACCCTTGTCTCATAGTTACAGTCTCTGTGTGCAGTTAATAGAGAAGTGGCAATCTTTTGATTGCAGTCAGAGTGGCATATTCGGTACAGTGTTTTGTTTATGTGGTGTTACATTTTGTAGATGAGGCCATTAATTTAAAAAAAAAGTACAAATTAGGTTGTAATATGCTTAAATAAGTTTGTAGATAAAATTATAGATGCCTATCCGCATAGATTTCATAGATTTTGCGTTGTTCTGAAGTATATGAAGGAATGTTTGGAAATTTCTGTGTGTTACAGCATACATCTTAATCATCTCTTTCTCTCTCAGTAAATAAAAAAGAGAAAAACTAACGAAAATCAAAGCCAGAGAAAATAATTTCTGAAATAACTTTTTTTGGTAATGAGAAATGATTAGGAGAAAAAAAGAAAAAAGCTTTGCAAATCATGAATGTAACACTGTGCTATATAGGGGGCAGAGATTGTGACCAGCTGCTTGGCATAATTATGCAAGATTGGATCTGTTACCTGTTTTAACGACTTGGTTGGCAATTCCAAAAGCAGACGGCCAAAGACCACAGAAGAGAACAGGGAAATTTCACTGCAATTACGAGGTCTTTACGTTTTGTTTTGTAGGTGAATTGCAAAGGAAGATTGGCTTGAAGGTGCTTGAAATGAGAGGAAATGCTGTTGTTGGTTATTTGCAGTGTTTTGATTTGGAGGGAGAGTCTGGACTAGTAGTGCGAGCCATAGGAACAGCCTGCACGTTGGATAAATTAAGTAGCACATCAGCATTTTTACCTGCATGTAACTCCCCATCCAAAGAAATGAAGGAGTAAGTATGAATTAATAATTGGTAGGGAAACAAGTTTCATCTCTCTTCTTTTCATACTCATTCAGTTTTACATAACTGGTGTGATTTCTTTTTTCCCCCAGAATTTGTTTTTGTTTTATTCCACTGTTTTGAAATGTTTGAGATTGTTTCTTTAGAAGCTGGAATGGTAATCCGTATTTAATGTGACTTTTTGAATTCATGTAGCAATGTTATTAGGTATCCTTGGGTTGTGATCCACCAATTTCCTAACTAATAATTCATTCTGCTTTGACTCTGTGTTTCTACAATATTTTTGTGAGGACTTCTTATATCATAACTTATGTTCATGATTTTCCAAGGTCAGTACAATCCGGTTTGAGCATTTATGCCGAGTGTATAGGAAAAGATAAATTTTGAATTCTGAAAGTTCTGTCAGTGATTTAGAAAATTACCCTGTAGTCTTGTCTTTTCTGGTGTGCTTTGCTTTTTACTGTTGCAAAACAAGTAGGGCTATTGCAAAACTGGTGGAGCTGAACGGTGTACTTGCAGAGAAGACTTTAGATGAGAGGTAGAATTGGTTGATCTTTGTAATATCTACTGCAGCACCAAACGCAGTTTGAATGCAAATTTTAAATGTGCATACAAATTAAGAGAAAAATACTTGTATTCTTCTTCAAATTGTCACTACTTTATTGCTTGGGTAAATTACTTATTTTCTGTCTGGTAGAGCAGTCCAATTTCTGGAAGGAAAAAACAACACCAAAAAGCATACTACTTATGCTGTATTTCCAGAGGTATTAATTGAACCAACCATTTTCACTAACTTGAACTGTTGTGTCATTGCAATAGTGATTAGGTATTTTTGCCATGCAGGCATCAGCATGCTCTGACTTCTCAAAATTACTGGTTTCTATTTCAAAGAATAGCTTGTTTAAGTTGCTTTAACTTTAAAAATTTTGCCATCAAAAGAGCTTCTGGATACGACGCAGCATAAAATAACAGTGGTGATTTTAAGAGCGGGGAGGGGGAAGGTGGACCCGGTAACTGCCAACTTAAAAAGCATTCATAAATAATTCAGTAGCTTTCACTGTGGAGCAAAATGTGGAAATCCCACCCGCTGCTAATCCACATTCACCTTGGTGGTGCATGTTGTCGGAATCGTTGTCCCTCAGTCAAAAATATGGGAATGTTTCTGAAAGCCAACAAAATCAACTAATACGTCTTATTCTTGCCTTTACTAACTTGATGCCCTGTTGCAAAGAATCAATTACACATTCACAAGCTAGTGCTTAAGCTGTTCCCTTCTCTTTTTATTTCATCTGGACTCTTGCATGCTAGGAATTTAAATACTTAGAGTCTGCTTAAAGTAAGACATCTCCTCTAGCTAAACTTCCCTGAAATCATTTATAACATAACTTTGCAACCTGTTTGTATGTATTGTTTTCTTTTCTTCCACCTTGGCTGCAAATTCTCTCAGGTCTCCGCTGGTTCATCCGCCAAGCCATGGATGCCGCTCGACTCACAACAGCCCAATTCACACTGCTACTGGCTCACGACTTACTCAGAACTTCTCTGTGTCTGTTCCCACTCTCATCTACACTGGTACGAGACTGCTCAGACTCAAGAGCTGGGGAGAGGCAGGCCACAGGCACAGTGGTCGCCAAGTGCAGGCAGGCAGGCAGTGTAGGCAGGTACCACCCATCTTTTCTCCCTCATTTTCCTGTGGAGACACCTTCTGTTGTCAGTGAGGAACTACTCTGTGTGCTGCTGCTGAAACAAAGGCAATAGTTTCTTGAGAATGCGTCGGAGTCTCTTCCACAAAGCCACACTCTTTGTTTAACGAGCTGAGTTCCTAAGAAATCACGTAAAGATAAGTTGATATATCTGGGGAACATTCACTATTTTTCAGTTGCTGGAGGAGGCTGCATTCTGATTGGGTTCATAATTGCTTTCAAGTGTGATTCAGATCTGGCATTTAGGTTTTAAAACAGTTATGGGAAGAGTATGTGCATTTGTGGAAGAGACGGTTTTAGAGAGCAGGTAAGTCAGTCTGTATGTAAGTGAACTGCTGTCAATATAGTTGGTCCTGTAAAGATTCTCCTCTTTGCTCTGTTTTTAGCTGTGGCATGCTGCTGATGCTATAGGATAAGGAAACATACTTTTTTTTTCCTTAAAATGCATATGTGTGTATATACATAAATGTATGGATATGTATAAACACAAATATAATTTTAAATCATTTTTTCTTTATTAAACTAACTCAAAGCATTGTGTATCTGACCAGATTTTTTAAGCCATGAACTGTTTTCAATTTTTTCTTTTGCATATATATAATTTTTTTTGTCACATCTCATGCCTTTCATTTGGCTTAAATGTTTCACTGTAGATTATCAGCATCTGTAGAATGCTGAATGGGTAAACCAGCATTTCTTTGCCTCTGGCCTCATCCCCAGTCTCGCACCTAAGGAATAGCTGCTGGCCCTGCCCCAGTCCCATCCTGGTGTTTGGATCATGCTGCTGTCAGCCAGGTCCTTTGGCACGGGATTACTGAATATGTTTCCACCTTCTTCTGGCAGGATTCCCTTCAATGAAGATCCCAATCCCAATACTCATTCATCAGGACCCTCCACCCCTCTGAAAAACCAAACCTATTCCTTTTCACCTTCCAAGTCCTACAGTCGACAGTCCTCTTCTTCTGACACAGATTTGAGTTTGACACCCAAAACTGGTAAGGCGCTTCCACCCGCTTTTTGTTTAATTTGTGGTTTTGTATTTTCATTCAACCCCTTTTTGCTTTTTGGCATTCAAGTTATCAAAATGATGTGGAAATTGGAGACTTCAGATAGCGCACCTCGAGCTTGAAAGAGTTTCTGTAGGATGAAAATTTAAATCCTGCCACTGTCTCCACTTTTCTGTATAATGTTAAAATGGCATTTGTAACACACCTGTATTCAAGTCAAAAATCTTGGAGCATTAAGGAGTCCTAAGTGTTGCCCTTTTCTTATTTCCTCCATTTCATATCACAAACCATGAGAGTACATTTCTCACCACAATATGTTAAGGACAGTGTTAGTAAAACTGCGTGGTCTTCAAGCCTAACGTGGTGTGCTATGAGTATATTGTGTAAGTTTCACTGTGATTTTTAACTCCTTTTTGCAAAACCCAATACTAGAAATGTAGCATCTGCTGTCTTTTTATTTTCCTTGGTGTATGGAAATGGCTTTCCATTATACACAGTATATGTTTTGAAAGTAAATTATGCTCCAGTCATCTTCACAAAGCATTTTTCTTTCTTTGGTCTGTCATAATTTCTTCAACTTACTGTTTCTCCTCTCCGTATTTTTCAGGCTGTGGTTAGGATCATGTCGGTAATAATGTCAGCAGTACTCAAAGAATTATTGTTTGTTTATTTTCCATTGTGTGACTAATGCCCTGGGTTTTGCTACTGTAGGGCAAAATATTTTGTCGAATTGTTTATAAAAGTTTGGTTGCTTTTTAAATTGTGGTGTTTGAAGCTCAGAGTATATCTTGTCTCCATCTTATCCAGAAAACTTTGAAGTAGTTGATTCAGCTCTACTTGAGAGCATCCTTTTCAAGACTTTTTCCAAGCAGATTAAGTTAAATATTGACTGCAAATGCAGTTTATTCTCTAGTTATCTCTTAAAAAATGCTCCCAATTAAGAAGTTCTCTTTCTTATTACAGCCTTCTCTGTCCTGATTTAAAAAAACAACGAACAAACTAAAGCACACTTTTTTGTGTGTGTGTAAAAATGACAACTATTTTGTGGATAACCTATGCTGGTCACTTGTTTGAAGGACCTACCAACATAACTGGATGCTTATTATGTAGGAGAACCAGAAATTAAGGTCTTTATGCAATATTTGAAAACCTGTTTCTTTTGATCAGATTTTCCATGGTAAGGATCATGTTGTGTACAGGATTTAAATGTAAGATAGATAGTTATCTTTGTAGGTGAAAGCGTCCTGAATTTACGAAGGTCACTGAATTTGTCAAGTTTTTAAAGCAGCAACTTTCTATAATTCCTGGCAGTGTTATGTAGGTGGATGGGCCTTTCATATTTAGTCAGTTGATTCAGAGCTGAAACAGATTGTGTAATTGATACCTCATATTTTTTTCAGGATTTTTCGAGTATAAAAAGATAATTTTTTTGGCTGTCTTTTTAGTATTAAAGCTAACAGTGGACATACTTTTGTTTGCTCGCACTGGCTTTTTAGCAGCTTCTAATTCTGCTGCTGTAACTTCTCTTAAAAATTCTGTGTCTTGATGTGACATCATTTTGAATTTTAATAGCTTAAAAGGACATTATCTCTTGAGTCATTTGTTTTACCTTTTACCAAAAATTTGATGATGTGCAGAAGATGCTTGCCTAACATACTAAGTGTGGTATGTTGTTTTTAACAGTTCATTGTATATATTTAGACTCATGTTTTCGTTTCTAAGACTGTTGGAATAATTTCAGTGTGAAAGTTAGTGATGCTAAAAAAAAATCTTTAAAAAGTGCAAGCTTCTTATGTGACACATTTATAAATATTGTCAAATTTGAGATACCCATTACTCAGATTGACTGATGTAAGAAATGAAATGTTTTCTGATGTTTTTGCAGTACATTATTTTCCTCTATATTTCTCAGTCAGGTAGGTAGTGTGTTTGAGATGGAGATTAACGTGGGAGAAGAGTGCAGATACCACAATTTCACAATATGATTAACTAAATATAAGAGATGGAAACTGGGATCTGCTAAAGCATCTAGTTTTCAGTAGCTCCAAATCAGGAGAATATTGCATTAATGTCTTTTATAAAATACCATTGTGACTGTTATTCATTCTGGTCTAAATTTGAGGGGGAAGTATTTTGGGCTGAGGAAGCCTCTTTTGGTTTGAAGTTAGAGTTCTTCTCTGAATAGTGATATATTTTATGCCACTGCAAGCTTAACAGAATGACAGGCTGACAAAAAGCATCTTTTAATCAGGTAATACATTTTGATGTGACCTAGTATATGTATGGAGGAAATTGAGAAGGTGGAACTCCTTTTCTTTGTGGGAACTTTGAAACCTACAAGATTTATGACTCTCATAAAACAAATCCAGAACTTCTCTGGAAAGTAACTTTTTGTACTTAAATAATGGAAGTGGTCCAAGTAAGTGTGTGAGAAGACTGTGTTTTTTAGCCTTTACTCTGTAGCATTTGTTATCAAATTTTTATATAATTAAAATACTTGTTAGATTACCATAGCTTAAAAAAAATTAATTTCAAGTTACTCAGTTCATGACTTCTGAGAACGTGCCTTTCATTCACGTTGTGGAACTGTATTGTCATTCCATTTCTTTGTGTGTTGAGACGTAATTTATAAGTAAGTGCTGATTCATTTAAAAAAAAAAGAACCAAAACAACAACTCATTTTGATTTCTTCTGTCTGTTTCTTTAGTCATCTTCTAAACCTACATCTCTTTGTCTATCACTTTCCTCCACAGCACCTTCCCCACAGAGACCTAGGATTTTCCTGTTTCCCAGCTCCCCTACACTCTCTTGTGATTCCCCACATCTTAAAAAGTCCTGTCTCCTCCTCTCGGGGTCTAGCCTTAACCCTCTGCACTCTAGCCATGTCAGCCCAGTTGTGCTGAGGAAAAGTGTTTCTTTCACTGAAGAGCTGCTTCTGGCTGCTTCTGGTAGGATCAATCTATTATGGCCTTTTAATCAGACTTTTAAAGAGAATGTTGTTGTTTGATATGGGGGCATTTAACGCACAGCCTTCTGTAACCCTGGGGGTTTTGTTCAGTTAACCTCTGAAAACTGCCGGCTACGTGACTGTTCGCACCATCTCTCACCTCAGAACCCCAGAAGCTTGCAACAGCTTCAAGAACTTCTTTTAGGATTTGAAACACACGTAGTTCAGGCTACAGAACATCTTTTTCCTCACAAAATTTCCTGCAGTAATTGGACTAACAGAACTTACTTCTTTTCACTCCGCTTCACTTCCATGTTCCTGTGTTTTGCATGGAACAAGCACTTGCCCATCCATTTGTAATGTATTGGAGTAATGGCTATCAGATGGCTAGCAACTCTGCTCTTTAAATTAAGCTTTTAAACTAAGTCTGTACAAACTTTTTATTTGTACTGCCTCCTTTTCCATTTCATTGACATGCATTATTTTTGGATTCAAATTAAACAGTTATTACTGCTTTTTTCTGGAGAAACTATTTTGATTAGTTTGTGTTTTTTTGAGTTTGTTTCATGTCCAGTATTTCTGCTATGTTTGTCTGTATTTAATATTGTATAGTCCCTGACAGTGATATTTAGAAGCAATGCTAAATAGTAAAAGCAATTTAATCTCATTTAATGGGACTATACAGATACTAATATCTTTGTTTCCTTATCCAAGAACAGCTAAAAATATTTGTTAAAAATTATAGTATTATCTTTTATAATTATATAGTAATGATAGCATAATAATGTTTGAAAATGTTAGGAATGAATTAACATACTATTAAGTCTCATATTGCTTCCAGATCTCCCAGTCTTTGGTTGAAACAAACAACTGCACTTTGATGTATATGTGCAATCTCATCCATGTTTATTAGATGCTTGATCAGAAGAAAAGGAATTAGCAAGGAATGATTACTTGAAATTAATTATAAATTCTGTTAAAGAAAATATTGACTTCATTCATAACTGTTTGCACTGTGGTGTTTGTATTTCATCCTGCTCCTGACACTTTTTTTTGTTCTTTATCCTATACTTTCCTATACAACTTAGGTGTTTATTTTTGCTTTGCCAAGTTAGCACTGATCGGTTTAGATACAAGAAATACCAATGATAGTATGTTTTTAGGCTTGAAATATTACCAAGAAAATCTGATTCACCAGCATTGTGTTTACTTTAGGAAAAACACAATCTTGGTATGTGCTTATTTTTTATTTCTGTGCTTTCTAACTGTAGAGCAAATAAGTTACTATCATACATATAACCTGCACCTTGACATACTTGGCTAACAATACAGTTCCTTAATAACAAATAATTGAATAGCAAAGATATTTGCATATTTGATAAATTTTCCATCTCTAGATAAAAGCTCCTGCATTGGGGGATAGAGGTGGGAGTAAAAACATATAAAAGAAGGAAACAGAGAATTACTCACATTTTGCAAATTTGGCATCTACTTCTTATTTTCATTTACATATAATCTGCAGGTTATGTGTGTGCAAATACAGTAATCAAATAAGTGAGGTAGTTTTAAATGCTGAGCAGTAGTCCTTAGCTTATTTGAATGAATCAGATGAGTGAATATTTCATTGTATAGATACTAAAGAAAATAAAAATAATTGGTAATTTTTCCAGAGTATTTTTTTCAAATCAAAGGACAGGCATTGTCTTTGCATTTTTCTTTTTTGGTCCCAATCACGCATTGTGTAGCTGCTGCTGTAGTTATACACATTCTCCTCCCAGCGGTTAGGAAAGGTGATCTGGTTACTATGAAACTTTCAGAAGGCTACATTTTTTGTACCTTTTTTTTAAACTGATGATGATTGTAAAGAGAGATACATGACTATATATTAATCTGGCAGAGAGGCATCATTCAGCAGTGTGAAGTTAATGGTGACTTTGCAGCCCTTTTTGATAAAGGCTGAAAATTTGATTATGTAGAAAGTTCCTGTGACAAGCAGAGAACATGTTTCTGTACTGAAATCATAGGCCAGACTTCTAATAGTAATAATCATAATAAAAAGTTCTGTGTCATAGAGAAGGGTTGCAAATCTAGTTCTCTAGTCTTTTGATTTTTTTTTTTTTAAATTTTTAATCCGGGTTGACAGCAGAAAAACATCTTAGATCAGTGAGGTTTTGTCCAGATGCTAAAAAAAACCACCGCTAGTCATCAAAACCAAGCCTCAGAACACCTCTCCAAATTAAACAAACTGTGATGCTCAGCATTTTGTTGCCTAAAAATTAAAATTATGGGGATAATTTCACTGTTTTCAATTACTGTTTTCTATATTAAATCAAACATTTGGTTACACATTATAATACTTGTTTCTTTGAATGTCATTTGTACTGATACTCTTCAGGAATGGGCAGTGGGAGTGCTGGAAAAGAAGGGGGGCCATTTAAAACTCTTTTAAGACAACAGACTCAGTCAGCTCTGGAACAAAGGGTAAGGCATTTTATACTTGTATTTCTGATCTACTGAAGTGAAAGCTTAGCTTGTAGTAAGTGAAATGTCTTCTGTTACTTTCTGTTTAACAATGTGTAATTTTTAGCTCTGAAAACTTATTGCATGTGTTGAGCATTTAATAGGCCTTTTATACACAAATTTCATAATATTTTAGTAATATACTAAAATTTAAATAAAGTGGAGCAAATAACTGTAATGTGCACAGCACTCAAGTAGTTACAGTTGGTGCTATAAGAAACAGTTAAAGCAAAAATTACTGCTCTTTATTCTCTCTGCAGTTACCAATCCATGTCTAGGTTTAATACTTCACACAATCATCTATTTACTGAAGTTTTTGCAGAAACCTAATTCGGAAACACTGAAATAGCTTTAAACAATGTGAAAAATCTCATTTATAGTTGCAAAAACCTTTCAGTTTTGAAAAACAGAGTTGTTGCATGATCCTGCATTCGTTCTACTATATGCAGTGGTGTACACGTAGCCTTTACGAAGTAGTAGCTTAAACAAACCTAAATGACTTCCCAAGCAATAAAAGGGCTTTCCAGATTTACAGTTTTTTGTAGAACCTCTGTAGGACCATCTGTTTTTATGCTGAATAGACTGTATAATGCAGATAGTGGAATGAGTCCTTGAAACTTTTTTTTTTTGTTATATACTGCTTTTGTCAAAATGGTGTGAGGTGTCTTGAAGGGAGAAATGTGAATGTTTTTCTCTTCAGAAATAAATTCTAGTTTAATTAAAATTTCTGACTACCTGAACTACTTACATAGAACCATATATGTTTGTTGAAAACCAAATCAGCTACATCTGTGAAATGTAAGTGAATAGCTACTATTTGGAGTAAGTGGATTGTTCTTTTCTCATTTTTTGTGTTATCTGTTGCTAAGGGAGGATCACCTCATAGGTTCTGTAGAAGGCGGGTATGTTCCAAAACATTGTGTGACTCTCTGTAGCTCTTTTTTCTTGTGCTGATGATTTCTAAACAACTATTTGGAATACTTTGATTTTTGTCAGGTTTTGCAGATTTATTTGTATATGCAGAATTTTTTAATATACTTTTATATTTAAGATTGGCACATTATTGCTTAGTATTTTGCATGTTGATACATTTCCATTAAAATTTTAGTTTCTCTTTAAATATGAATCCATGGACTTTTGCTTTTAATGTTTTAGTTTGAAAAAATGCTTTACAAAGAGTCTTTTCTCTCTTTACCTTTGGTTTCACTAGCATTTCAGACATTTCATGGCTACCTGTTATTTCTTTAGGAACCTTTTAAAAAACAATAAAAAATGTAAAATGTGTTTTTAGAGCCTGAATTATTTGCTTATTGTTTTGCTAAGGCCTGCATATTATCTAGTGGAAAAAAATACTGTAAAATGCGATAGAAACATATTGAGTCTGTTATTGATGACTATGCAAAGCATGCAGACTGTTAATTGATACAAGAAATATATTCTTACTGTCTTTCTGAAAATTTCATATTGGCTATGTTTCTGCTACGTTACGTTAAGGTTGAGTTATTTATTGAGAATGAGTAACTCATATTTTAGTATTGCACATAGAAATAGTACACTCTAGTTACTTGTCTGGATTAGTTGGGGTGGCACTTACTTGGGAAAACAAAGAATAAATTCAATGCCTATGATGTATTTCCACAAGTATTATACATACAGAAGTTCTTCTGAATCTTAGTTTAGTTTACTTGAGTATATGGTAATACTAAGGCTTAATAAAACCAGTTCACGTGACTGGATGTCTCCACAGCTTTTTTTAAATCAAGTGTGTGCTTAATGCATTACTCAAATAATCTTAATTGCAATCCATAACATGTTTTGTTGAAAGGGTAATTTTACTCAATTTCTTCCAGGAAAATTTGCCAGCTGTGGAAAATTCATACACATGTTATGTCATTCATTAATGTATTTTTGGCAAATCACAGGATACCTGTTGGTAGCAAGTGTAACTATAACACAGCTATCTTTGTGTGTGCTTTTATCTCTAAATATATATGCTGTATTTCCAACAGTGGGAAAATTTGAGCTTTCTTATAAAAAATGAGCCTGTATTCTTATAGAAATGATCAAATGCCGGTCTGGATGGTATTTTGTATCTCTGTCGACCTCAGCTTGGCCATTGGCCGTTTTTTTGTGCCACGTTTGCGTTCTGCAAGTGCTTGAGAGATCTTGGCTGCTGCCTTTTCGAAGTGGAGATCTGCTGATCTTCATCTCTGAAGAGCACTGCGAGAGAACTGTTGTGTTAGAGTGCAGTTCTCTGGGTGATTCTTCTGCTTGAAGTGCCGACTTAAGCAACTTCTCTTTCCAGCAACTTCTTGTTACTATCCAGCCCATCCCCTCAGTTCAGCTGAAGAAAAATTGTAGGGTTGTTTGGCCGCTTTGTGAGGTGGCACAGTGTGAGTGCTTAGAATAAAAATAATTCACCCAGGAAATTAACAGTGGTTCAGTGTGGACCAGTTCTCTACTCTGGTTCAGCCCAAAAAACCCACAGTGAACATACTGGAGTGTTTACTAGTACTATCTGAGGGAGTGGTACAATGGTGGGAGTAAGTGAACCTCTGGAAGAGAATGTGAGAACTGCTTCAGCTGGCACTAACACCAAATGATATGTATGTAGCCTTGTTTCATGCCCTTTTCATTATTTTATGTGTCTTTGTCTGAAATGGAGTTAAAAAAAGAATACTAGCAATACATGTATGTGTATATGCTAACATTTTTAAACAGTGTATTAAACAAATATATATATATGTGGGGATTTTTTAATAATCTTAACAGACTTTCCCCAAATGGCCAACTATAAAATTCCTGAGTAGCTGCAGGGACTAAACCAGTGACAGGTTTTAGAGAGTTTATGGAGTCCGACTGTGAAATGACGTAGTTAATTGGTATTGGTAAAAGGATTGACCAGCTTCAGTTGTGTCTTTGGGAACTTGAAGATCAGTGTGACTTCCTACACATGGGAATACACTGTGCTTCTTACACGTGGGACTACTCTGTGCTTACGTCACCTTGATGTAAAGATAGTGCTTTGCAAATTGCAGTAATAAAAGAGATTTGCAGTATGGAAATACTGCACCCGGTTCTTACGGATTCTCTGTTTTTCCATGCAATAAAAGTATAGCTTTACAGTTTTGAAGTATTACAGATTACCACAGGTGATTGAGTCTGGAACTTGGTTTTGAGTCATATAATAATAAAAATACCCCCAAACCTCTAAGCTTAAAAAAAAACTAAAGGAAAAAAAATGAAAAGCCGTCATACAAGGTGATAGAATTCCATCTGCATACCAATGAGTGTGGGACATGGTTAATGGAATTAGAGCATGTCAGAATGCTTCCATGAGTCAGTTACCCAGATGTGTCTGTGGCTGAAATCAACTGATAGGATATAGGTCTAATTTTAGCATATCTTATAATCTAGACTTGGAAGTATCAATTTATTGATTGAGATAAATGCATGTTCCTGTTTGTAGTGTAGAGAATCAGGCAAAGTAGAAGTCTGGACATGTTAAAATTACTTGCAGTGTGTGACCTTATGAAAGTGAACAAAAAATGAAAATAACTTTTGAATCTCCATATGGATTAAAAAGCCTGAGACTTGCTTGTGCTTTAGACTATGGAGTGTCATTCACTTTGTTCACTACATAGTGCATTGGCTCAGTCTTAAGTATGTGTATTTACGTGTAAGTGGTAAATGTAGCACAGGCTTACGGCACATGTCACATAGGAAATTCCACTGAACTTTTCCGTTGATATTCTATAGTTCTGGGAAAGCTAATTAGTTTTAATGTTTTTAATGTGGGATAACTACATTCAGGGACAGAGCAAACATGTATGTTATATATTTAAATAGAAGTTATGCAGAATGAGTGTCATGGAATTGTCCAAGGACAAATATTATCAGTATATTTGGGAACCACTGAACAGTTGATGTTACAGAGCCTCAGTGAAAGAGGGTTCTAACATTTCTTTCATTTTTCAGCATGAAAGATGTACAGCAAAGGTATTCAGACTGTTTTGTGGTCAGAGCTTTTTGTAGTCAGAGCTTTCTGAGCGTGCTGAAAACCTGCAAAGCACTTTGTGGTCTGTGAGAACATTCTAGGGAAGTCTTTTCTTTAGCCCTCTCTAGAGATCTGTCAGTGCTCCTGAAGACAGATTAGTCAAGCAGGTTTGCAGAGTCCTATGGTGAAACCTTTGTGCTTTTTAGTTGCATTGTAAGGCACGACTGCAGGTTTTGCTGGTTTTGGGGGTTGGTTTTTTTTTTTCTTGTGGTTGTTGATACTGTACTTGCTCATTTCAAGGTTTGCCTCTTAATTTTGGAAGTCTAAGGCAAACAAAAATCCAGAAAATTTGAAGTTTGTAGGACCTTTTAAAAGCTGTGTGAGCTCTAATAACAAGAGTGGTAAGAGTTCTGAAGTGTTATTTTTAAATCTACGTTGGACTTTATTTTAAGAGGGCTTTTTTTCATGCCATGTATTGCTGGGAGAACTGTGATTCTCATTTTAGCTGCAGCATGTACACTGTTCAGGTAGAAGTTCAGATCAACTGTACTGTTGCAAGCACTGCAAGTATGTGAGAAAGGAATCTGTACTGTACTTTCTCTCATATAAAGTTATGGTATTTCTTTTCTCCATTTAATCAATCACTATGACTATGCAAACCATGATTGCATGATTTTTCTCTTGTTTTTGCCTCTGTACATTTAGAATTGCTGAACACAAATCTATTGCCTTTCCCCCATAAGCGTGCTGTCACGTGTATATTAGACATTCCTTAGAATGTCTTTATAGATATAAAAATCTTCCAGTTTGGGCTCGGCTCCTTTGAATGTGACTTATGTCGTCACGTGTGTCATGCAAAATTACTGTTGTCACTTACTTTGCATCTTGTATTGCACAGCGTTTTTGAGTAGTTGATGAAATTTACCAATTCTTCATTTTAATTATGAATTGGTAACAACTAATTTATGCAAATAAATTGGAAATTAATTTCTTCAGTTTGAGAACTTAGAGTTATATTTCAAAGATTTATGCTTCATTCTAGAAGACGGGTATTTACTTGTTACATTTAGAGCTTATGATGCAGGCGGAGGAGTCTGTAAATATTTTTAGGTTATGTTTTCCTATAATAAGACATTAGTCATTTTTGCAAGACTTCAGTTTGTTTTACCCTGTCCTTCAGGATGAAACTTCAGTCAGTTGTAACAGTAAAGCTTAAAAATTGGCAAAAACGTTCCTTTGGTTTATATCAGCTAACGGAAGTAGAATTGTTTGGCTGCCTCCTAAAAGTGGACCAATAGAGGCCTTGTTAATACAAATGTGTGGAGTTTTCATTATTTATTAATATCATGCTGAAATAAACTCTATGGGGGAAAAGTATTCTTACATTGTATCGTACTTTTGCTTTTATTATACTGTGGATATCTGAAGATGTGTGGTTACGTAGCGCTTAATAAGCCTGAAGGACACGTTTGGCCAAATATAACTGCTTTGCTTGTATTTCAGGGAAGTTATCAATTCACTGCATGTTTATTGGCAATCAGCAGTGGTTGGTAAGCAGTCATATGATGTTTGTTTTTAATCGTAACAGGAATTTCCATTTTTTACCTTGACGACCTTTCCACCAGGCTTTCTTGTCCACGTTGGTGGTGTTGTCAGTGCCCGGTCTGTGAAGCTTCTGGATCGCATTCACAATCCCGGTATGTTAACACAACAACTTCCTTGCCCAAGTTCATTCATGATGATTAAGTACTTCTAATCTTTGTAACTTTATAACATAACGGTATTTGAATAGATATAAATCTATCCTAACAATGTATATTAAAAGCAGTATTTTTCAGACAATGAATTAAGCTTGAAAAGTGATAAGTCGTTCAGAGGGTGTGTTTTTAGTGAGAAACTTTCAGCAAGTTAATGAAATAAGAGAGCTTTGAATGCAGTAACTTTGCGCTAAAAGCTGGCTTTGAGTTATTGAGGGTTTAATTATTTTTACCACTTTTTAATATTAAAACTTGATGCTAGTTTTCCATTCAAACAAAAATAAATATTTGATCTTAACTATGTTTTCTAATTTTCAGCTCCTTGAAATCTGTAAGGACTAAAGACTACAATTTAGCTCAATACATGTTTTTAACCTGTTTTGATAAAACGTTTACAGCTTTGTTTCTGTTCTTAAAAACATATACTGAACTCTTTAAGATTTTACTTAGTGTTTACTTGGGAACTCCAGTACTGGAACGTGTGCATTTTGCATGTCTTAGTTCTGACATTAGAATTAAATGACTTTTGACTCTGAAGACTGTATTGTTATATTCACAGAGGTAAGCTGAGGAATGCCCTGTAAAAGGTTGAAGTTAATAGCACACTTAAAAATGCAGACAGAGGAAGATAAAAAGTAGCACCTGTAGTGATTTTGCATGCACTAGTCAGGAGTAATAGAACAAAGTTTGTGCAAATGCATCTTTAAAAGCAATTAAAAAATAATCTGTTTTTCCTTTCCTTTCTTTCTTGTGACTCAAGGCCAGTAGATTGTTGCTGATCTAAAAAGCCAGTATACTGACAACATGAAACAAAATCTGAGACTTAATTGGAATTTAAAAAAACATGCTTTCAGGGATTTTTTTGAAAGCATGTGAGTACACAGTAGTGTTCTCTTTTTCCCCTGTTTTTAAGAATTATGTATACAGTGGGGAGAAGATGAAGAAAAACGTCAAAAGCAGATTTCTGATACAGGTCACATGTGCAAAATTTACTGTTTGATATATTTATTTAAGACAATGTGGGAAAAGAAATCAGTTTTGCTCAGAAGTTTTAAAACTTAGTTTTTTACATTGAGCACTCCTTTATTTTTACCAAAAGATTGAAAGCAGGATAAGAAATAGGAGAAGACAGACGCGTGTTTGCACAACAAAGTATTTTTGTTGAACTTGCAGATTGCTCCTGACAAGTGAATGTAAGATGCATGATACTTTCAACTCAGTATATTGCAAAACAGTGAAAACAAATGGGAGAGCAAAGGCCTATGGCTATGGGAGCGAATGTGAAGAAGTAGAAAAAAACTGTTTCTGATACAGTGATGATCATTCTAAGCATTTGGGTCAAATAAGTGTGGAAAATATTAAAGGAAATGAACTGGCAAATGAATAAAGAGGAAAATGTAGAAGAGGAAAGACCGTTTGAAGGTGGATTGATAATTTATCATTAAGACGATGATTGCTATATACTGTACACTTTGATCACGCCTAGTGCTAGATTGCTATGGCATGCTCCTTTTTCCCTTTCTATTTCAGCCACTTATTAACTCTGCTGTCTGTGTCTTTCCAGTTCCTGTGGAGTGGTGTTGTCAATTGTGTTCTTGTTGGTAGTTTTTTTTCACTATTCTGCTCCTATAACTGATCTACTAATTTGCTGTTTTGAACTCAGCCTTTGTCGGAATTATGGGTAACACAAGATCATACAAACTGCTAGACTGGAATAGTTTCAATTCAGGTATTTTACTAGTCATTCGGTACTACATATGCTGACAGAAATTATGGCAGCTCAGTGAAGTTCTTAGAAATGCTGTAGGATCTTTAGGTTAATGCTTCAAATTTAAATCTGTTTAATTATCAAATGCCTAAATGTTTTGTTTTTATGTTGTTAAAGGCTTTCTTAAAATTGCCAAACATTGTTTTAGTATAAAATAGTATTGCTCGGAATAATTGAATATCAATCTGGAATG